GACTCTCACTCTCACAGAAGTAAGGAGTTAAATTCTCTTTCCTGTATCTGCTTTTCAATCTGTGTATGTGGACTCAGAGAAAACAAAATGAAGCCTTCCAGTAAAGGACAGTTTCTAGGAATCCTTTACATATGTCCAAATATTGCAAAAATTTACAATCAGCTCAGCCTTTGAGCTTCCTTGAACAGGATGTAGCCGGTTGGCTCTGTGTGACAGTAAGAGGTGCAGGATGAAGCATTACAAACACAGCCTGAGCATGGGGTGTGAGTTCAGCACAGAGGGAATATTAAGATCAGTTGTTGCAGCTGGAAAGAGGCTTTCATGCACCTGACTTTCCTACAGCATACATTTTGCATCAGCTCTGTTCTTATCTGTCACTGAACTCTGAGAGCTAAGGAGTTCACTAAACTTCCATGTGTGTTTACATCCAAGTGTAAATATTACACAGAATCCCAGACCAGTTTGGGTTGGGAAGGATCTTAAAGCTCCCAGTTCCACCCCTGCCATGGGCAGGGACACCTTCTACAGACCAGGTTGCTCCAAGCCCCGTCCAGCCTGGCCTTGGACAGTTCCAGGGATGGGGCAGCCACCACTTTGTCTACATATAGAGAAAATAAAAATCCTTCAATATAGAAATTCCTGTGCACCTGCTCTGAACAATTTTACTTTTCAAACTGCATCATTTGCTAAACTTTCCAGAGACTATGTTGGTTTACAACTTTTATGATTAAGTTACTTTTTAAAAAGTGCAAGCAGAATATTTTTACAGTTCTAATGTACTTTTTTGGAAAAGTCTTAGGTCACTAATCCCTGCTACTGACACCCCCAACAGTGGGGAAGGATTACTGAAACAGGCTGACTCTTACCTCCCAGGCATAGAGGATGTGCCTCAGCCCCAGCTGCTTGTAATCAATGAAGGGATTTTCTCTTAGGTGACTGAAGGCCATGTGATAGTCAGAGAGAGCTTCTTCATACCTGCAATGCAGAGGTGACACAAGAAACTGAGCCTAAAACAGCTAGAGACTGTTTACAAAGCTTAAAAATCACACTAGCAAATAACATGTGTTCTGCTCTGCAGCCTGTGCAAGGAGAGCTGCGTTATAAAGAACCAAGGTTACCCACTGCTGGGAGCTCCCTGCCTGTCCCAGCACATGTCCCAGGAGGATTGAGGGCTGGGAACCTGACTGATGGGGACCAGGGAGGGCACACACATGGCCAGAGCATCGACATTGAGAAACTTGAAATTTAGAACCTCAATATTTAGAAATTTAGAGAAGCTCTGTGGATAACGAGGGTATTAGTCTGAATTTACACCAGCTATGCAACTGAAATCCAAGCAGGTGCCCACTGAGGCTGCAGGTAGTGAAAGGAAGGGCCCAGGAACGGCTGTGCTGTGGGCACCCGGCCAAGAGAAGGTGCCCAGGTGGGTGTTGGGGGGTGGGAGCAGTTTCTGATGAAGGAGAGAGCCCTGGAGGCCATCAGCTCTTTGGGCAGGAGGCAGCTGCCAGCTGTGCTGCCCCTGCAGTGGCTGTGCTTGGGGCATGTTTGCTTCTGCTGCTGCTGGAGCAGCTCCAGAGAGCCCTGCCTGGGGCTCCACCAGCCCCAGGCACAGCCCCTCTCCTGGGGAAGCCAGAACTGCTCACTTTAACTCCCTTCCAGAAATAAAGACAGACATTTTGTGGAGATTAGGGTCTGGGAAACAACAGGAAAGACAATAACTGAGCTCAAAGGTACGACAAGATCTGTAAAATACTTCACCCAGCTCCCTGAGGAGGATATCACTGTGATTTAACTGTGGAAACAATGAGTAATCAATCCCATGACACTTCTAGAGCAACCTCAATATTTTATCAGTGAGATCAGGCCCCCAAAGTTTGCTTGAGTTGCAGGAGAGTGTGCAGGCTGCATTTCTAGGAAGGCCAGACTCATGTGTGTCATGAGAAGACACACCAAGCAGCACAATTATATTTTTTTTAATTTCCAGAGAAAATCTGAATGGCAACATAACATTGTGGCAGCCTTGCATGCAGGAGTCTCTGTATGTAGGGGACAACAATGTCATGTGTCAGCCACCCCTGGAGCCCCAGAGTTGTGCAGCTCTTATCGATACAAGACTTGCTGACCTGTGACAAGGTTTCCAAGCTAAAGCAGACCCTGTGAACCCTGTAAGATTGCTGGAAGAAGTGAATTTTGGAATCAAACAATCATTTAGGTTTAGGAATAAAGCAGGACTGAAAGGAGAGAACCAAAGTCTGCACTGGCTGTGCACCTCACTCACATTTCCAGCTGCAGGTGGACAAACCCTCTCTGGAAGTAGCCCACAGCAAGGGAATTGTCCTTCTCAATGGTTTTATTGAATGCCTGAGGAGAAAAACACAGGCAGGGATCAGCTGGGATCTGTCCTGTCAGTGCCTGGGCACACCCAGCCAGCCACGTCCCAGCTGCCCTCAAAGAGGCAACCCCTGGGCTCTTGCCCAGCTCCAAGGCTGACACAGCTCCCAGCCATCCTTCAGGTCTTGGCTGTGTGTGAGCTGAGTTTCAAGCTTTTACCCCTCCTTGCTACAATGGACTGGACATAAATGAGCTGCATTGGCCATCCGGCTTCTTAAAATGGGAAAACTGTAGCCTGAAGCCAGTGGGAGCAGCAGGACTGGCCAGGCTGGGGAAGGCTGAGGTGAAAGGGTGAGAGGGAGGAAGCTGCAGGGCTTCTCACAATGGTCTCTAAGTCGGTATTTCTGCTTCAGTGCCCCAGCTAAAAACAGGCAGTGCTTGTGGCAGCAGCTCATGGTTCAGCGTGCTGGGAGAGCCAGGAGTCCTCCTGGGGCAGCAGCAGGGGTGTGCTCCTTCCCTTACCACTGCAGACACCTCGTGGGGATAACAAGTGCTGAAAGCCCAGCCCTCCCTGCCCTGCCTGCACAGGGACAGCACTGCAGGGGAAGGTGAGTCCCCGTGACCCCGCACACCGTGCTGCTGCCTCCCTGGGCCACAACTGAAATAACAACAACCAGCCCTCGAGCCGCACGGAAGGAGAGCTGAGCTTCTTCCCAGTCACTGCCCCTTGGCTGGGGCTCAGAAGTCTCTCCTGAGCTCTCTCTCTCTTCTCATGGCACCACTGCCATGTGCTCACTGTGTCCCAAACAGCCACTGCTTGCCCAGGGCTCCACGGCGCTGCCCCGGCCCCTCCAGCACAGCCTCAGCTCCTCCTTACGCTGTTTGAAGAAAAGGTTTATCTGCATCTCCTCCCTGAAGATGGATGGATGGATGGATGGATGGATGGATGGATGGATGGATGGATGGATGGATGGATGTGCAGACACACCAGGTGCTGTCACAAAAAGGCTTTTCCTCAGGGCACCTCTTCTCCCTTCCCAAGGACAGTGGTTTTCCAGCACAGCAGCTTTGTTCTGGCAGTCTCCACTGCCAAGCAACATACTTGTACTTTCAAAATACACCCATCTTCATGTCTAAACTCACACCCACAGAACAGCTATTGGACAATCTTTTTCCTGCTTTGATTTAAAGCTACAATAATTGTGCATGTCCAGTGGGTTGAAGACTTCTCTTGGAATCAGGCAGGCTGAGCTTTAGAGGTGTGGCTTTCACATGATAATGAGCTAAGTTCACCTAAAGGACAGGATTTTAACTGATTTAGCTTTAACAAAACTTAAGGTACATTGCCAGATGCAGTTTCCAATATCTAATTTAAGTACTCTCTATTATCTTGTTTCAAAATGATTCTGCCCACTGATCTGGATTTCCATAGTATTTAGAGAACCATGGAATCACAGAATCATTAAGGTTGGAAAAGGTCTCAAAGATCGAGTCCAACTGTGAACCAGGCACCACTGAGTTCACCACTGAACCTGTCCTCGACAGTCACATCCGCCTTTTTAACTTCCACCTTTTTCACTTTTCTGAGATTCACTCTGCTAAACCTTTTCCTCCGAGCATTCACCCTTCAACATCCCCTCTCGCATTCCTGCTGGACACGAAACGCCGGATTCCAGATCTAGTTTCAGCATCATTCCCTCCGAGACGGACCCGGGGGAGCCGAGCCGCCCGCGCCCGGGACCCCCCGCTCCCGGCCCGCTCACCCGCAGCGCCGCCTCGGGCCGCCCGGCCAGCAGCTGCACGCAGCCCACGTTGAAGCAGATCCTGGCCGGAGGCTCCGCGATGCCGCCGAAGGCGTCCAGGGCAGCGTCCCAGTGCCCGCGGTCCGCCGCCCGCACGGCCTCGTGCCAGCGCCGCACCAGCTCCCGGTACGCCATGGCCGGGCTACGGGAACGGGAACGGGCACGGGAGCGGAGCCGAGCGGGGCCGCACCTGCCGGGCCGGGGCGGGGCGGGAGAGCGCGGCCACCTCTGCCCGCTCCGCTCCTCCCCTGGGCGGCGGGAGGAGACACAGCCCGGGATGGGACACGGACCGAGAAGGGAGGACACCGAGCCCGGGACGTGGACCTGGGAGGGGCGGGGAGGGGACACGGAGCCCGGAATGGCACACGGAGCCGGCGGGGCAGAGCGGTGAGAGCGGCGGCCACAGCTGAGCGGGCACCGGGGGGATGCTGCTGGCTGAGGGCACCAGAGAGCTCCTGAGCAGCCGCCAGAAGCGAGCCGCGGCCAGCGCTGCCGGGGCCAAAATACCGCTTTGGGAGCTTCCTTGAATAAAATATTTAACGTAAATTTAAATTAGTAGATAGTCTCACGGCCGTGTGGGTGCGCGTTAACTACAGCAAGTACGGTAGGCACAGGCGGCGCCGCACTCCGCTACACACGGCAGAGCCCCCGGGCTCGTGCGCTGCCGCGGGCGGCATCGCCCCCTGGCGGCGCCGCGCCTCGGTGTCCCGGAACAGGAGACCGATGGGGGCGCGGCGCCGTGCGCGAGACGTTCCGGGACCGCTGGCGTTTGCGGCGCGGAGCGCCGGGGAAGGCTTTGAGCGGCGGACCGGCGGTGCCAGGTGAGTCCCGGGCGGGCCCGGAGCGAGCGGGGCCGGCCCGGCCCGGGCACCCGCCCCGGAGCGGCTCCGTGCGGCTCGGACCCCCAGAGGAGCGGCCAGCGGGCGGCGCGGCGCACGAAGCGGCCCCGGGGCTGGCGGGGCCGTGCCGGTGTGGCGGAGCGGAGCGGGCCGGGCCGGGCCAGGCTGAGGGCTTGGGTCGCGCCGAGGGCTGGGCGAGGAGCCGGGGCCTGCGGGGAGCGGGGCGGAGAGCAGGGTGAGAACCAGCGGGGATTGCACCTTCAGCTCCGCGGCGCGGCGGGGCGGAGGCACAGCGGTCACACGGGCTGGGGCGAGTTAAGGGCACTTAACAAACCGGAGACATCGGCCGCAGCCCTGCGTGCGGCTCGGGCGTTTCCGTCTGAAACAAACTGGTTGGGCTCCCTGCCACCGATTTAAAACGTTGCAGAGAATGGGAAAGAAGAGTCGGTGGAATTGGGTGTCGTCCACACGTGGAAAGATAAAGTGTGGTTTGGGAAAAGAAATACAGTTTGTTTGACTGTGATGAGAACAGCAGGAGTGGAATAAAATGAGCGGCTAAAATTTTGTGTCTAATTGGATCCTGCAGATGTAATGAATGTAAAGATTAAAGGTTAACCCACGTGTGGTTGGAAAGGAGATCCCCCCCACTGGTGTTCCTTCTTGGGAAGGGATTTCGGCATCTGAGTCAACTGATGAATGCTTAGAACCACGTACTTGGACTTTCCGAGGAACTGAACTCTAGTGCAACTTGACAAGTTAATGAAGCAGGTGCCATACAAAATGTAAGAATAGCCTTAGGACAAACCGTGCCTCAGCTGTGAAATGGAAGCCGTGGATGGGTGGGAACGAGCTGCTCCCCACACCTTGGTTCAGTCCCTGGCTGAGCCCAAAGCAGCTGTGTCACCTTTGCTGCCGGGGTCCCTGCTGACACAGAGGGGACATGGTAGGGACAGGGTGCTGCTGGCCTGGCCTGCCTGTCTGGGTAGTTCCACGTGGCAGGAGGATCTTGATACCACAACAGCTTCCCACCACAGCCACTGCTGGGGGTGGAGGGGGACTGGCAGGACACAGGTGCATCAGTGGCTGCATCTGGACTGCACTGCTGGGGGAGGAGTTGATTGCTGGTGTGGTTTGGAGTTTTTCTAAAGAAAATCAAGCTGCAGTGACCATGTGTGTGCTCGTGGTTAGAACAGGCTGCTGGGGAATCTCTGGTTCCAGGAGCTCTCCAGTGTGACAGAAGAATCCTGGGGAATTCAGGGCAGGCCACAGAAATGCTCTGGTTCTGGAAAACAAGCCCTGGATAAGATCAGCTTATTCAGGCACGTTCAAGAGAAGAGAGCTGAGGAGTGACTCAGGCACTCTGGAAATCCATGCCTGTGGGAAGTTCTCCCACAGCTGGATCCTGTCAGCCTTCCCAAAGCACTCAGCAGGATCTGGTAACTGAGGCACAGCGACACAAATTCTGTTAAATGTGACCCAGTTTCCCTGCAGTGGTGGAGGGTGGTTCCAGCAGGAGCTGGGCCAGAGGGGAAGGCCTGGCAGTGTTGGGAGCTCCTCAGTGGAGGCTCTCAAGGCTGAAGGTGTGCTCAGAGCAGACTCCTGGGCAGTCTCGGGGCCAGGCCAGTTTGGGCAAGCAGTAAGGCAGAAACAATCAAATTTTAACATCTGGAGCAAAAACTAGCAAAATGCATCTTCTGGAATGTAAATGCTCCATCAGAAAAGCTCTTTCTGGAGTTCCTGAGGCAGCAGTGCTGCCTGTAGGAATGCTGTGCAGGTGGTTGCAGTTCAGCAGTGAGCACACTCTGGTGGGGCAGAGGCGATGCTGCTCGCGCAGAGCCCCTGCAGACACACAAGGACTAAACTGAACAAATTGCTCTTTTCCACTGCAAACAGCAACTGGCACATCTGGAACAAGTGCAACTTGTGGGATTCTCCAGAGGCAGCATGGACAGAGGTGAGGGGCAGCAGGGGCAGCTGCCTGTGCTGGGAGTTCCCAGCTCTGAGGTGGTGCAGAGAGATCCTCACACAGAAGTGGATGCCAGTTCATAGAGGCTCAGTTATACTCAGACAACCAAAGCTGCTGCTCCTGTGAATAGATAATTTGCCCAAACGTGCATTAAATAACTTGCTGATGTGTGCAGTGATGTAACCTGGGAGGAGAGGGAATGACATAGGGCACCTCTGGGCTAATCACAAAGACATTTTGTTGGAATTAAGAGTGCTCTTCTGACCGAAGTTTTAGTAATTTAATTCAAAAGCTAATTACTGAGTCTGTGTAATATGTCTTTAAATAAAAATATTTTTTTTTAGCTCTCTGAGGATTCTTGGTGCTCTGGCAGCCTCCTCAAGCAGCTCCCTTTGTAACCAGGGGCACTGGAGGGAGGGCTGGTCACTTAGGAACTGAGGAACAAAAACAGGACATGTGCCAAGGGCTGAACATCCTGCAGATTCACATGTTCATCTCTCATCTGAATGAAAGTGTAATAAATTGATATGGTGTTGGAGGAATTTGGGCAGATGTCAGTGATAAACGCCTGAAAAAATCTTGCAGAAAAATGAAAGAAGGGGGTGTGTATACATGGGATATTGGAAGTCTGACAAGCTTTTTTCCCAGAGGATAAAAGCCTTTGACTCTTTTGGAATACATGTGGAGGTTTGGTGTTGCAATGTGACCAAGTGGCATTAACTTGGGCCTGGCAGGTGAGAGTTTGAGGTCAGGAGCAGTGTGTCCTTTTCCCACCTGTGCTAACTGAACTCCCTGCTGGGAGACCTGGGGCAAATCCTGCTTTGTGGGCTGCAGGTGAGAATCAGGCAATAAACCCTGCTTGTGTCATTACCAGCTTATTCAGTCTCGGCTTTGCTGCTCCTCTGGGCTGTTGCTCTGGGCACAGCCCCTCCTGCTGCCTCTGAGCAGACCTGGTTGAGGCAATTGCTTCTGTCAAAGACATTTCTACAGAAGAAAAAAAAAATCATGTGTTTCTAATTCTTACAGAATAATCCTCCTTGCAGTTTCTTCTGCAATGAATAGGTGGAAATGCAGGTAAAGAAAGATGAAGTGTTTTGGAATCTGATCAGACCAGGAGCAGTTAAAAACTCTTCAACTTCTGTCTGATCACCTGTAACACATGAGGAGTCTGTGCCTTCTCTGACCCTATCCCATGGACAAGGTTGTGTATTCCTTGTACCTGCCACACTGTAAATGTGAAGAAGGAATTCGCTAATGAAGAAAAAGGAGATAAAAATAAGAAGAATGGAAGAATTAAAGGAAAAAAATGCCGAATTTCTGTTGTGTAAACATTTGAACAGTAACAGCCCAGAAACCAATTTGAAAGTGACATATCACGAATGGTTCCTGTTGGTGTCCTGCTCTGGGGCTGCTGTTCCCGCAGGCCATACCTGCCCCTGCGTGTCGTGGTAGCAGCTGACATAAAAAATGCATCAAAGCCTCTTTTTCTTGTGATAATATAGCAGCCAAATTCTCTGCCCAGTGCTTCAGTCCATCTCTGAGTCTGTCTGGGGGAGCAAAGCTGCAGGTGTGTTTGCACAGTGAGCCCTGGCTGCTGTGCCATCGCTGGGCTGGGCACTGCTGTGATCCTTGTCCCACCCTACTGAGCCAGGGCAGGACACACTCCAGCTCTACATGGATTTAATGCCTTTAAAAAATTTCCTCTTTATTACATCTCCAGCTCTGCCAAGGGTATGGCCACATTTCATGTTAAGTCTAAATGTGTGGCTGCTGTCATTTTAGACTTTTGATTAATGTAATGCTTTTCTTTTTTTGCTTATTCGATGGTTTGTGATACCCACACAATGTGATTTATTCTTGGCTGTTGCTCATCTTGCCTTCAAAAGCAGAGTGCCTAACAGTGTGTTACCCTTACAGCTCTGCACAGCTGTGGTTCACTTACTCGTTTCAGGGATTAATTTGCTCTTGCATTTTTTTACACTTTTTACTCTGTGCTGAATAGCATGTAGGTCTGGTTCAAAAGAGATCTAATCATTTTTGATTTTACACCAATTCACTGACCCTTGTTTAGGTTACATGTTCATGAAAGAAAAGTCTCTTTTTCAAAACAGCCATGACACTGTCTGCACACTGATGATCTTTGTAATGTCAAACTCTGCCTGAATCTCCTCAAGGAATAAGGTGTTTTGTCAGAAAGAGGGTTGGCTGGAGTGTAGCAGTGCTTGAGGAATGTTTAACACGTGAGCGAGCACACAGGAGGGACTCAGCACTGCTTGGGAAGCGCTGGCTCTATCAAACTGCTCCACGTGGGTTCCTTGGGTTATACAATTGCCTGTACAGTTTTGGAAGATATTCCCTGGGGACTTGAATCTCCCAGTGTTAGAAGCTAAAAGGAAATTAGTTTGGCTTTTTGAGAAGGGCAGTGCAGTTGGGTTGTACAAGCTCAAGCTACAGTTTCAGCTGGAGCATGGCAGGTTTTTGTTACCTGTGTGGCTGAGGGTGTCCTCCGGGGCTGTTTGTGAGCAGTGGTGGCCACTGGGCCACTGCAGGCATGGAGTGGAGCTTTCCTGCAGGTGCTGTGCTTGCTGAAGTGGATAATCTGTGTGGGTCAGGGTGTTGGTTCCCTGCATGCTTCATTGCATTGGTAAGGTGTTCTTAGTCTTTGGTGACCGAAATGGAATCACAGAATCCCTTGAGGTGGGAGGGACCCACCAGGGTCACCCAGCCCAGCCCCTGTCCCTGCCCAGACCCCCCAACAAGCCCACCCTGGGCATCCCTGGCAGCGCTGTCCAAAGGCTCCTGGAGCTCTGGCAGCCTCGGGGCCGTGCCCATTCCCTGGGGAGCCTGGGCAGTGCCAGCACCCTCTGGGGGAAGAACCTTGCCCTGAGCTCCAGCCTGAGCTGCCCTGGCCCAGCCCCAGCCGTGCCCTGGCTCCTGTCCCTGTCCCAGAGCAGAGATGGGAGCTGCCCCTCCATTGCCCCCTGGGAGGAGCTGCAGATTTCTCTGAGGTCTCCCCTCACTGCACATCATGATCTTAACATTACAGTAAAAATGCTTAGCAAGAAGTAAAGAAGTTGGCAAGTATATGAGATGAGTTCAAGGAAGAATGTGCTCCCTGCCAGGTCTGTCTCCCAGCCTGCATTAGCCAAGTGCCTGCTGGGGCTGTGGGGCTGAGGTGTTGAGTTGCCCGGTGTCCAAGTGCTCACAGGCCTGTTTGCTTCCTCACAGCTCCTGGTGGCAGCAGGGTCCCCCAGATATCGCCAGCAGTGACGCCTCCACTGTCCTCCCTCGGGGTGAGTTTGCCACTTGGGCTGAGTTTGCCATGTCTGTTCAGAGGCTTCTGACACACATCTGGCAGGATGAGGGCAGTGCAGCTTCAGGAACTTCTACCCCTCTCTATTCTGTCTTGTAGGAGCTTGGAAAAAGCTCATTTGCACCTTCTGCTCCCAGCTGGAGTGTTGAGTGGGATCCCACCTGAGTGGGATGCCTTGGTGCAGGATGGGGGAGGGAGGGGACAGGAGCTGCACAGGAGCTGCTGTGACTTTTCTGGGCCCACACTGAGCAGCTGTTGCTCTCCTGGCATAGCTGTAGGTACAGCTTCAAGGGCAAGGAACAGCCCTGTTCTGACAATGTGATGCTGAGATTATTTAAGTGAATTTCTATTCTGAGAATCAGCATGGAGTTTGTGTCACAATAACAACTTTTCTGGTTTGCAGGATGCTTTATTAGTTTACATGGGTGGGTGAAAGGGAACTGGGCAATAAACCATGTGTCTGCTGCATGTCTTGTAGCCAGTCCTGTTCCACCACTGGTTTGCAGGATGCTTTATTAGTTTACATGGGTGGGTGAAAGGGAACTGGGCAATAAACCATGTGTCTGCTGTTTTAACTTGTAGCCAGTCCTGTTCCACCAATGCAGCCTGTGTGACACCAAATAGTATTCTATGGTACACCAGTGTATTAAGGAACATATTCAAGGAGATTCCATTTTGATTTGTGAACTTCATTGATTTTATTCACTTATTTTTGTAAAGTTTGATTTAACTACATCATATGTTGAAAAGTTACCTAGCAATTCCTTACAGATTGTGTAAAATTCAGTTTATCTTAAAAAGTTGTACTGGGTTAACTTGCATCTTACTCAGTATCCTTTCTTCTCTTGGAATGGGAGAACTGTGAATTTTCCCATCTTTCTCTATAGTCCTGCTGCCTACTGAGGTGTTTACCAACGAGGGCTTGCACAGTGCAGGGCAGTATAAAATATCTGTGCAGGAGCAGTCACCAGTTAGTGTCTGTCATCTGCTTTCCCATTTTCAAGTGGAGACAAGGCTCATTTGGGGTTTTCCTGGTGTCCCTGTGTGTGTGAAATGCAGCTGCAGCCTCGTTAGAGGGCACTATGGAATCACCCAGGGAGCTGAGCAGCCACATTCCCCTGCAGCTCTCCAGAGAAATCCTGCTGCAAACGTCCTTGGCCCCCAGAGCAGAAAGTGGGAATCTGGAGCTGGATTACGCTGGGTACCGGTGATCAAGGCAAGACTGCCTGTGCTGCTCATTTCATGCTTGTGCTCTATATAGAACATAGCAACAATTTATTAGAGAATTCACTGCAATTTTCTAAATGTGAATTAATGAACTTGCATTTGTCATGGCCTTTACCCCATAAACTGCCCTGATCCTAAATCTGTATCCATTTTGGATATTGTTTCTTGGTTGCTTTTGTCTTTAAAAAAGTAAATCCTTGATAAAAATATAAGATACTTCAGAAACTCTTGGGTTTTAGTACCAGCCCTTCCAACAGTTCTATCAGTGTCTTTGACAAACAGTTTGTTGTGTCTCCTTTCACTTTCCTTGTGTCAAAAAGAGGATAATGATTTTTAACTTGGGTGAATTAATCAATATATAAAAATGTGCTTTGAAATATGAAGTGGTTTAAAAATTTTTGAAAATATAATTAAAATATTGAACAAAACAGGAGTCAGAGAAGTCAAATTTAAGACCACGATTATTATTCAACTGCTTTCATGGCGCTTCTGTTCTGGCAAGATTATAGAGCCAGATCATTTGCATTACTTTTGGTTTCCTGATGTTTTTAATTTTTTGTTCAAGGAACAGCATATTTATATGCAGGAGTCAGATTGTCTGTAAACACAAACATAATCTCACCTTTGTCCAAACACCTTGTTTTGCTTTTACAAAACCAAACCAAACCGGTGGGACCCAGAATTGCTAATTGTGAGCAATTAGCACTGACTCATCCCCAGCCTGGGGAAGCTTGGCAGGAGCCAGGCGTGTTTCCTGGGCTGGAGCGGTCCCTGCAGGGCACAGAGCTCGGCTCCAGGCTATGGCTCCCTCTGCGTTCCCGTGTTTCCTGGGCTGGAGCCGTCCCTGCAGGGCACAGAGCTCGGCTCCAGGCTATGGCTCCCTCTGCGTTCCCGTGTTTCCTGGGCTGGAGCCATCCCTGCACATCGAGCTCGGCTCCAGGCTGTGGCTCCCTCTGCGTTCCCGTGTTTCCTGGGCTGGAGCCGTCCCTGCAGGGCACAGAGCTCGGCTCCAGGCTGTGGCTCCCTCTGCGTTCCCGTGTTTCCTGGGATGGAGCCGTCCCTGCACATCGAGCTCGGCTCTAGGCTATGGCTCCCTCTGCCTCTGCGTTCCTGGAGCTGTGGGAGTGTGCCGGTGCTGGCTGGCTTCTCTCACCGCTCCGGGCTGCTCCTGTCCTCTCCAGGATGGGAGAGGAGTATGGGGAGGTGTGACAGGGCAGGGACAGTTGTGCACAGAGCCAGCTGACTGAGCAACTCCTTGCAGAGTGCCATGCGTGCCCTGCCAGGCAGCTGTCCTCCAAGGGCAGCCTCCCTGGCCTAGGCCACGGACAGTAAACACTGACCGCAGGAGTGTTTATCAAAGCAGGTTCTGTGCTTCAGCCAGGAGACAGCGCTTGCTCTGGAGTCCTGAATCATTGTGCCAGGCTTCCATGAACTCTGTTGGCCACAAGACTTCATTCAAAGCAGAATAATAAGAAAACGTCCTGATCAGGCCTGCTTTTTCCTCTCCTAGTTTTTAATCTCCTCTTGCACTTTCCCTGTCTGTCCCCCCAGAACTTTCCATCCCCTTGGTAGCTTTTTGGCAAAGAGGGATTGCCTGCTCAGGGCTTCTCCAGCATCCCTTTGTGGGAGAGCACAGCAGGAGCTGCCTGAGCCCCGTGGGTGGCTGCAGGTGTGTGGGAAGCAGCTCCTGGCGAGATCCTGCAGCCTGTGAGGCAGCTGAGGTGACAGCCCCTGCAGGCAGGTCTGGGCATCCTGGCAGAGCAGCCCTGGGACAAGGGCAGGCACTCGGCACTTCCCAGCTCCCACTGCTCTCCTGGAGGGTGGCACAGCTGCTCTGGGCAAAGGGAATGGGCTGGGGACAGAGACAGGATAGATCCAGGCTGATATGTGGCCCTGGATCCTTTGGGGGAGTTGGGAATACAACAGCAGACAGGCAGGCTGGGATGGCCTCCTAGTGACTGCATCAGCTGGAATTCCTGAGGAACCTTTTATTTGTCTGGCTGGCAGATGGATTTTAAGGTGGAATGCAATACACAGGGACTCCTCTGGCAGAGATAAAAACAGTTGCTGAGCTTAAAGTATCTCGTCTATGCGACTGGGGATTGTGGTTTTTAATGGGTTTGAAGAGTGTTTCTTGTACTCCTGTGATTTCTGTAAGTGACTTCAGGACTGACACTGTGAATGGCAGAGGTGTCAGCCAAAATCTTCTCCCCTTCAGTGTTATCCTCCATCCCATATGCAGATCCCTCTCATGTTTTACCACAGTTTGGATGTTCTAAAAAGTCATGGTAATCCAGGAGCCAGACACATTTCAGATCATGTCTGAAGAGGAGCTCTACCTTGCTTGTAGGAAACACTTTCTGCCACTTTTGAGTAATATCTCCTCACAGAACATTTCTGTGGAGCTGAGAGTTTTGTTTTAAGGTGATGGTGTTTTGGTTTTTGTTGCTGTTTGAAGACAGCTGTGTTCTGTGGTGACATGTTTGCCTGAGTTGGCCAATGCCATCCCCACAGCACAATGTGTTAAGTGGAATTGTTAGATGCTTTAGCTCTGAAATCAGCTCCAGGTACAAATTAGATTTTTATTATGCAGTACTTAGACCCATCTATAGTTACAGTTCAGTGTTGTACGTAAGTTCTGCCAAGCCCTGATTTTGACTCTGGAGGCCCAGTGCCGATTCTGGGCCGTGTTTTGGGGCTGGTGGTGTGGCTGGGGTTTCCGAGCAGCTCCCTGCTGTTCACCTGCCCCAGAGTGATGTTCTGACTGGGCAGGTTCTTGTGCTGGGCTCAGAAGCCACTGTGGGACAATTTGTGTGTGATAGGGGAAGGTAGCAATAGTGCAGAAAAAGAGTGAAAAGGCCCCTGCTGATAGAGGTTAAGGGAACAAATACAACTGTAAAAGCACATGAGAGAAGCATAATGGGGAAAGCTTAAATTTTGGGCAGTTTTCACCCTAATGTAATGATGTAATGGAGCAAGAACCACTTTTTCCTTCCTTTTTTCTTCTCTTATTTCTGTAGGAGCCCAGTGGTGCTGTCTGGCTGACTTGTCAGAGGTTTAAGCACCAAAAGTAACCATTTTTAAGTAAAGCAAATGCAAAACTCTGGGTATATGCTTAAAACTCAACAGAAAATGAACAAACAAAAAATATCAAAAATGAAGAAAGTCTTTTGTGTACAATGTCCAGAGCAATTTTAAAATACTCTTATTCCATGCCTAAATAAATGGTTGTTTCAGCCAAAGAGAAATCTTTCCTCATGATTTATTACACTAATCTGGATGTAAGGCCTCTGAGCAGGATTGTCAGTTTGTTAGAATAGCTTTCTTCTCTTTTCAGATTTAATCCACATGTTGTTGTATCAACAGAGCCTTTGCTCAGTTATGAGTTATCCTTTTTTAATAATAATAAAAAAGTGAAAACACATGGTTTTTAACAGCCTTATTACAAAGAAACCCAAGATGACATAGGGAGAGGTGATCATCAAATGGTGACTGTGATTTGTATCTTCGGAGTGGTAAAAGGGTGAAAAATGGCCCTTTCCCCTCTGCCTGGGGCAAGCCTGGCCGGGACAGGAGGAGGCAGCATTATCTTTGGCCAGGATTTCCGAGGTTTTTTCCCCAGCTTGTGCAGTGATGCTAAACATGCTCTTTTTAGTTAACTCTAATTTCCTTCCTTTTTTTTTTTTTTTTTTTTTTTTTTTTTTTAAAGGGGAATTTATCTAGAGGTGTATGTAATTCACATTTCCTTCCTTC